CAAAGGTGCCTACAAGCTCGACCTCCCTCCGCGCTACTCGAAGCTCCACCCGGTCTTCCCCGTCGTCAAGCTCGAGCTCGCCCAAGACGACCCCTTCGACGGACGCCCCGGCTACGACCAGCCCCCTCCGGACCTCGAGGACGGAGTCCCGGAGTGGGAAGTAGAGGAAATCCTGGACGCAAGGGTGAGGTATAAACGGCTGAATTACTTCGTCAGATGGAAAGGCTACGACGCGTCGCACGACCAGTGGGTCCGCTTCGACTGCGTCTTCGCCCCGGAGAAAATCGCGGAGTTCTATCGTAAGTACCCTGGCAAACCACGGCACATCGCCTCTGCAACCTTCGACTCGATTCCATTCCGGTCTATGCGTCGGGACGCCGCATTCAAAGGGGGGGGTGATGTCAGGGGAACCTCCCTTTCGGCCCCTCGGAGACGATTCCGATTCCGGTCCGACTCCGGTTCCGACTCCGGTGATCGCATCACCGCCTCCGTCAGGCGCATCACCGCCCCCGCCTGGCGATCCCCCTGGGACCTGGCCTGCGACATGGCGCAGGCATACTGCACAGAGCAACGATCAACCTTGGCGCGTCAAGAGCGCAGTATATAGTTCCACTACCTAGCAGGCGGACCCTTAGAGTTTCTTCTCTTTGGATCCTCCCCTGCTAGGTCAGCCTCACTTGTATTTGCTTACTTCTATTCACTCTTTGGATCCTCCCCTGCTAGGACCTTGATCTCAGGCCTCCGGGGTTGCCCTACAGGATGAGGGTGAGCGAGAGGTCTGCGTTCTTGAGCCGGAGATGAGTGAGTCGCGTGGTTTGGCGGAGGACTTTTTTTAGAGCAATCTCTGGCAGCTCTTTGCGGTTGCCGACGACGCCTTGGCCGACGTAGAACTCGCCGGTGACATCCAGCGAAAGGGATTCCAGGGAGCTGTAAGAGGAGATGCATTGGGTGGATGGGCTGTTGAGGAATAAACTTCGGAGGGAAGGGGCAACAAGGGTCAGGGGAATCGGGTCATGGGGTAGGGGGCGAAAGGCGGCGTAGTAGGAAATATGGAGGTGGTGGAGGCTGGGGAAAAAGAGTTGTGGAGAAGGTCCACAAGCTGGTTCCAGTCGAAGCAGTTCGCGATGTTAATGTAAAGCTGTTGGATGGTGCTGGAAATACGAGAAAGATGAAGCGCAATATGAGATATACTCTTCTCCGGAGACGCATTCCAAACAAAGTGCGAAACGCTGATATTTTGCGCCGGTAAAACCCAGTCGTTCGCGTCGAAGATGATACTCTGGACGAATTTTGATGGTCGGATGAGGTGCCCATCGATAAATTCCCTACGCATATGGCTACCGACGTAGAGGGGTCTCCAAAGCAAGACAGTGGAGTCCATTATGAACCGCCAAGCGCGACAGACGAGACGAAGAGTGCCTCGTCGGATCGACACAAGGCTCCAGTTGTTTGTCGACAAGATGTAAGTGGCGAATATGGTGGTAATGATGTCGTCTAGTTCGTACAGACATTTTCGGGCAGGTGGCTTCAGCTGCGCAAACGCTCCGTACGCTATTAAACATCAGCGATGCCCTCAGTATTAATTGGGGAGCTTGCTCCCCAATTCAGCAGCTCACGAAAAACCTAAGAAAAATCTCCCACACGACGTCGAGTGTGGGAGATTTTCGAGGCATCGCCGAGAAAACCCGAAAAGCCGAGTGATTATCCGCAAGCTCCTTATAAGTAAGCTGAGCATCAGCTTACAAGATTCATGTTGGCTAGAGACGCACTTGCATTCCGACTGTCGACCATGGTGAAAGAAATTTTGGAAACAACACTTCACAATGTTCACGTCAGAGAGGAGATCCACCCAGAGAAACAATGCACGTCAACCCCGAAAAACACGCCACTATGGTCTCCAAACTTATGCATTATGATTATGACTGACAACAAACCAACGACACAGCCAGCTCTAGCTGGCGCACGGAACTCCCCCCGACACACCACCACATCACTCCCCAAAGCAAACCGGCTCTGCCAAATGGATAGACTCCCAACGAAGGCTGCTTGAACAAGCACCGCACCTTAGTAGCTGTAGCGTACTTGCCCGCGGAATATAAATGTGATTCAAAAAAAAAAAAAAAAAAAAAAAAAAACCAATGTTCACGTGCTTGATGACGAATCCTTGTGACCTGCTGCCTTGCTTCCAGATAGGCACTGATGCTGTACGAGTCACGGCCCATTGATGGGCCGGCCCCAAAACGGCCCAGTGACAAAAAAAGTTACCTTCAGGTCAATTTTTATGCTCCCTTGGGGACAAAATTTCATACCTGGAGGCAAGATTTTATGCTCCCTCAGGTATTTAATTTCATGCCCTATGGCACAATTTTCTGTCCCCTCAGGTGCAAGTGCATTGAACCCACAGTACATTTTGTTTTGCCCCTTCAGTGTAAGTTCTGGACACTGTAGGACAGCTCATTCTTGTTCCTGCAGTGAGTTTTGTTCTTTCCCTTCAGTAGCCAATAAATGTGCCCTTGGGCTTATTATTACTTGAAGAAACCAGAATGAATTCAAGTTGCTTGTAAGTTGTAATAAAAAGACTACAGTTCAAAATCTTGAAGCCAAGGCCTTGGGTCAAGGCTCAAGCCAAGCATAGAGAAACAGCATTGGAACCAACAAAGGCAAGATGCTATAGGATAGGTAGAAATTGTCCGTACTTTAGCACCACAGATGCATATGATTATCTAGGGAATCCAAGCTGTAATTAATTGAGGGCATTTTTAACCAGTCTATGCAACTCAATAAATTATCCCTTCATAACATGCAATATGTTATATGCAGAGAGAGGCTCAAATGAGTTGAAATTGACTATGCTATTGCCTTTTTTGGAACACATCAGTTGCCCAGAGGCACTTATATGATGAAAATGCCTATAGTCAAGTTTTTTTATCCTTCGGGAACTTGCCTGAGCGCCTTCAGGCACAATCATTGGTCCCTTCAGGTATAAATTTCAAGATGCCTTCAGGCAAGAATGAATAATGCCTACAGGCATGAATATTGCGACCTCAGGTGAAAATTTAAGTGACTCCAGGTGCAAATATAGGCACCTTCAGTCACAAATCAAATGTCCCTTTGGGTAAAATCAAAAAAGGCCGTTTTGGGGCCATTCGCCCGATTTGGACGGCTGTTTGTACAGCACTGGGTTTGGTCTCCTTGCTTCAAGCCGCGGCACGCTCAACCAAATACCAAGGTCCCAACCTGGATACCTGGAACCGCAATAAACACGCTGCGACGCGACACGTTGTTGTTTACTCTGCACAGCCCTCGTTTGTTTGTTTGTTTGTTTGTAGTATATAGTGCTTAGTCTCACGTGGTAAGTCCTTCCGCCTACACCGTTGTCCCTCGCAGGTAACTGTACAGTTCAGTGATGTGTCGCAATCGCAGCCCCTCTCCTATCTCTGTTCAAGACAACGATAGTCATGCCTCCCGCAAGAAGCAAGCGCACCACTGAGCTTGTTCTTTGTATCTGCTGGCGTTGTACTCAACGTGGGAAGACCAACGGCACTCGTATTACTCGCCATCGTTATAATCAGCACCGTCGCAGCGACCACCTCATTGGTCATCCTTCGACACTTTATTCGACCACTGTCAACGAGTACTTCGAAGACTTTGAGGAGGAGTCGGATGCTGAGGGGAGTGGTTACGAGGCCACACTGCCAGTCGACATAACATCTCTTGCTGCGTTGCACGATACTGGCTCTAGTGACGAAGACGATCTGGCTCCTCGTAATCAGGAGGACGAGTCAGACGAGATGGAGGAGTTGTCTCAAAACTTCGGACGTGTCTTACATGTCGAAGAGTTGGTTCAGTGACCTGTGGTTGTGCATACAACTCTTTGGGAGGTTCCAGAGGACGAAGAAGAGGCAGATATCACTGTTCCACCACGGTCAATGAGCCCAAATATGGCAGACGATGAAGATATTGATGCCGACCAGGCAGTCTATGATTGGGAGTGGTATGATCGTGTTGCGCGAAGCCGACAGCTCACTGCTGCTCACAAACTGGCCGGTGGCTTGTTCTCACGTGTCATTCGTGAGGGTAGGCAGTCTTTTCTCGTTGCTGCTATCTGCTGACGGATACGGGTTTTAGGTCGAATACTACAATTGTATGACCTCAATATCTGTCGTGCATATGGGTGGAAGCTCAAGAGCCATCTTACTGATGCCGGATTCAAGTCAATGCCTACGGCCTTTCCGGTGCTTTTCGAGGGTGACGATGCCCTTCCCAGTTTGGATGAGCACCGGTCCCGTGTTGCTGAGCTCTCTGAAGTGAAGCTCGAAACATATGACTGTTGCATCAACTCTTGTATCTGCTATGTAGGACCATATGCGGATGACACCGACTGCCTTTTTTGCAAGGAGCCTCGAGTCCGGAGTGATGGCAAACCCCGAAAGGTTTTCAATTACATTCCTCTTATTCCTCGGCTGCAGTCGCTCTTCCAGAATCGAGCAATGGCAGAGTCACTCCAGTACCGTGCCCGTTTTCATGCGGAGGACAACACAATCAAAGATGTCTTTGACTCGAGCCTTTATTCGAATCTTTGTAATGAGCGGATTCCACTTGACCTAGGCGGGCGTCCAGTTCCGAAGTATTTCGCCGATAACCGAGATATTGCTCTAGGCCTTTCAAGTGATGGTTTCGCTCCGTTTAAACGACGTCGGCATACTGCGTGGCCACTTATCCTATCCAATTATAATCTTCCTCCGGAAATTCGATTTCATCTGGAGAATATCATATCTCTTGGTGTTATTCCTGGTCCATCGAAGCCCAAAGACATGTGCTCATTCCTTTATCCACTCGTTCTCGAGCTTGTGCGCCTTGAGGAGGGCCTTCCGACATATGATATTATCTCCGACAGCCAGTTTCTTCTTCGTGCCTTCCTTATCCTTGTTTTTGGTGATATACCGGCAGTCTCTATGCTTATGCGCATCAAAGGCCATAACGGTTATTCACCCTGTCGCATGTGCAACATCCATGGTGTCCGTATTCCGAATTCTACTAACAACACACTCTATGTTCCTCTTGACCGTTCCAAACACCCTGACGTCCATGATGATATGATCACCACATACGACCCACACAACCTTCCACTACGCACCCAAGAGGAGTTTATGGCACAGGCTACAGCTGTTGATAATGCCTGTACCAAGACAGATGCGGAAAATCTGGCTCGCCAGTATGGCATTAAGGGAACAGCCATTCTATCCCGCCTCAACTCACTCAAATTTCCTTATTCCTTTCCATACGACTTCATGCATCTTATATGGGAGAATCTTATTCCCAATCTCATCCTATTGTGGACCAACAAGTTCAAGGGGCTTGATGAGGGCCTGGAGCACTATTCAATCGACAGTGCACTTTGGGCTGCTATTGGGAAGGACACAGCCAAAGCGGGAGGTACAATTCCCAGCGTATTTGGTACACGCGTGCCCGATCTTGCCAAAGGTGGTTTTCCTATATCCGCAGAGATGCACTCCATCTGGGTACAGTTTATTGGACCGACCCTTCTGCGACGGGCATTTACCCATGTCAAATATTATGATCATTTCATTCTTCTTGTTCAAATCCTCAACAAATGCCTGGCGTTTGAGATTGGGAGGGACAAGATAGACTGGCTTGGGGAAAAAATTCCAGAATGGGTCCAAACTTATGAGAAGTCCATTATTACCCTTTTTTACCTCTTTTTCTGATTTAAAAATCAGGTTTTATTACCAATATGACCCAGCTCGACTCTCTACCTGCACCCTCACCATTCATGCTCTTCTCCATATTCCTGACGCCATTCTGTCTGCTGGGCCGCAGTGGTGCTATTGGGCATATCCCATGGAGCGATATTGTGGGCGTCTCCAGCCCGGAATCCGGAGTCGGACATTTCCATAGGCCTCCTTAGATTGATATGTCTTGGAGCTCGCACAACTCTCACAGATTGGAATTACCTACAACATTTCACGTGAGCTTGCAATCCGCCCAGTCCATGACCCTCGGGGATCTCTCCGTATCCCAGCTTGTATGTTTCTTTTTTCATTTGGTTCTTTGAAACCTTCTAATAATTGTGTCAGATCCTTCTGCACTCCTGCTTGGACCACATATTGGTCTTAGTATTGAACAAATCCCACTCCGTGTTCGCAATGCCCTGGCCACTCGCTTTAATATCAAGTCGGGTGCAAACTCCCGCAAAGAGCTGCTCACTATTCTCAGAGAAGCTACCTTCTTGGAGTGGACAAAGCTTCGTTGTATTGACTCAACTGCTGGTGATACTATGGTTGCTGACCTCTCATCTGCCTCACATTCAAGAAGAGAAGACCGGCGGGATCCTACGTTTGTGCGGGTGCGTCTTGACAGTCCCAGAGTTTGTCTTGTCTAATATATTACTAGTATGAAATGCTTGTGGACATCTATGCCAATGACCGCAAACGAAAGTCGGAATTTCAGCGTCAAACATTCTTTGGTCAACTTCAGCATATCTATCTCATCAGTCTCAACAACCTCCAGCCCATCAACAAGTACAAAATTGGTGCAGGGGAGTGCATTATTATGGTTGAGATTCAGAACTGCAAGCTTGATTGGAGTGATGAGCGAACTGACACTCATTATTATCATGAAAAAGGCACAGTTGATGCTGGTGATGCCACTATATTGCAATGCTTGGTTGGGCGGGTACCAGATGGATCACGAGGGTGGGCAATTGTAGACCGAAGTGGTAGCTTAGCTCGGGCAGCATATTTAGATGATGAGGAAGAGTAGATTATTACATTAGCAAAAGTCTTTGATAAATCGACCCATTGCAGCTATGAACTTCTTTTCTCCATCTAGTTGCACGCTGAGTGGACCTCTTGTATGATGTTGCCCCCATTCGATTAATTTGTCAGTGAGCCGGTACATCTCGTGGCGCATACATCCGAAATCGGTGATGATGTTGTCCCATCCCTGTTCTGATACCATCAGACTTGTTTCTGTTTCGGTGAGCTCAGCTTTCGTCTCTTCAAGTTGAGTCTTGGCGTTGTTAAGCTGAGCTTTCGTGTCCTCAAGTTGGGCCTTTATGTTTTCAAGCTCGGCTTTTGTACTGTCGAGTTCATTCATTGTCCCATCAAGGAGCCGCATGAGACACTGAATATGCTTCTCCTGCTCATCAATAGCTATATGGCTATTAGCAGGTATATATATATATAAATAGCTTACTCTGATACAGGATCTGGCCGCTTTCCATAGTGACTGAGAGCAAAAACACGTAAAATGGTGGTGTAAAACACGAAGGGTCACGGCGTGACGTCACGCGCTCATCCATCAATGTGACCTAGACTACCAAACTCAACCAAGGTCTGGTTGACTATAATCAACCTAAATTAGATTGAAAGCATCAACCTATCTTGAGCAACCTATGAATCAACCAGGATTAGGTATAGATTTATTGCTCGTATGGTTATAGGATGAAAATGAAAAACAACCTATGACTACAGTCAACCTACAGTTGGATGACGGCCATGTCCAAATGCGGATGCAGCCAAGATTAGGTTACAGCTGACCTATGATTGGTTGGTAAGCAACCTGTGTGAACTTCACAGTGTGTCTGGGTAGCGTCTGGGTCCATGAGATCAATCACAGCGTGTGTAGGCCATTTCCTCATTCGACATCGTCTGCGACACTATCACACCCACAAACGACTCCCTCTCAAAAATCATCCTACAACTCATTCATGCATCGGGGCTCTCTCATGGTCTGTATACTGTCCTTCACCGTACTCAATGCCGTCCCAGATTTATCTTGGACGCTAGTCTCCGTTGGGCTGGATTTCGCCTGTATGTCTGAATAATGAATTCTGTAAATTGCTGATTTCATCTCCAGCACTTGCTTATGCCCATGTGGACAAGCCCGCTCTTGATGCCCTTTCCATGACGAGACCTCAGCCCTGCTTCCAAACTCATTCCACCAATCTCAGTCGTAGCCCGCCTGCCGCACTAGCTTCCGACTCGCCCACACCTTTGACGATATCTTTCCCATCGAACCCCACACTCTACTTAGGTTACTAGACGGTACCAATTTTCAACGGGGGAGCCTGTTGAGGGCACCGACTTGGTTCAGCGGCCGTTGTTCCGGTCTCTGACCCCCCGACTTGACACTGTTTTCTCTCTCTGCCTCTGGGTCTACTTGAGACAAGACTAGCTCTGCGACGTAGGGTTTACGCCTTGCCAAAGGAATGTATACAATATTAACTGCACGCAGGCCTTGCCTCTTCTCTTCCGCAATCTCAAGTAAAAAGGAGCACGACATTTCGGGCATTACAAACTCCTTCCTGGAGTCCTTAACCCTTGCTGCAACTTACGCTATCTGTCTACATATCATCCACTGTTGCTGGGGGAATCGTGTGTGTTTCTCACCTGATTTGTTTTCAATACCATTCACGCAGATTATGACCAGCAGTCAGTTTCGATAAAAAAAAGCAATGAGTCCAGAACCGAAAGCAACCCTTGTTGGTGCGTAATCTGTTACTCTTGTCCATACCGTCTCATTTTGCGCAGTCAGTGAGCTGGCAAGACTCGTTGCAATCAAGCCCTGCGTGGTACTGAAAGGCCAACTCTTGTTCGTAATCCAGCATGAGTCATTCGATAGACTGATCCTGATGGTCAGGGTGCTAACACGCTCCCCGATTTGGTACCTCCAGCGCCATCGAATATTTGGCAGCGGGCAAACTTCTTTCGACGCCAGTGAGCTGACAGTCTCAGAGAATGTGCCAATGGTGCGTTAGCAGTTCAGTCAAGGATTTCTTCACCAAATCAAGTTCAGGTCCGACCGAATTCCACCACCTGAAAACTCGACACCCGTCAAGTCTAATTCTTGTCGATTACCAATATGAACGGACTTGCTGTCGTGATACCAGGAGCTTCCACCCATGGTATAAAGCTATAGGATGTATGTGATGACTTTCTGACCACTTCTAGATGACTCTATTCGTCTTTGTAGCTACCCAGCAGGCGTTTCGTGGATTTGTCTTAGATGCCGTGTTTGGTCAGTATGTCTTCTATCGTGTGCGTTACAGCTCTGACGATTAGGGTCCAGGCCCCGAATGAAACCAATGGAGGGAATGGAGGGTTTCCTCCCTCCATAGAACGAGGAAAAGGGACGACCAAAGTTCGTGTAGCGATACTACTGTGCAACAAGAACCTGTCAAACACTTCGCACTGGATACTTGCACAAATGCCCCAACGTTATGGTTTAGCAGTTTTAAACCGCGCTTTCGACCTGCCCCATAATCTTTGGTGCCCATCATCGGAACTTTTCAGTAACGAACTTGTCACAGCTCAGCTTAGACTATCACCGTCCAACCAGTCAACAATGGAGGACGCTTCAGCAAACGCACCTTCGTCACAACTGTCTTCATCCACTTACTGTCTTTCACAAAACCATGCCCACACCCTCCGGACAAGCCGGGATCTTATAACCAGAACTTTGTCCGAATTGAACGTCCACCTAATGGAAGCATATGCTCCAACTGCAACGAGTGCACTTGCCGTGCCACCCCATCTATTCGCCTCCAGCCATTTTGAAAACAAAAGTAATGCTCAAAGTGTTTTAGAATGCACTGAGCTCCTCGCCCTCATCTTCCAAGCTCATCTTCGATCTCAAATGACTACCGACTGGCGAATCGATGTGCGGAATCGATCGACCCTCATGATGGTGTGCACACTCTGGAGAGAGACACTGGAGTCGACACCGGAATTGTGGTCGAACATCATCCTCGTCCCAGAGATGCCACAATGGTATATCACCCGGGTTTTCCAATGTTCCAAGGCCACTCTCAAGCGCTTGGATATTCACCTCGGTGCCAACTTGGAAACCAATGCCGACATCTTCTCGTCTCGCTTCGTTCCCCTGCTAGTTGCAGTAGCCGATACCGTTACGCATCTCTCCGTGCGCTATGCTTCTTCCACTGACTGGAATGATTTCGTTCACTGACTATCCCTCTCGAATGACCCCCCCTTTTTTACATCGCTTCGACAGTTTTACACGACTTATTGCAGCAATCATTTGGGAAGCCCTTTCCCAAACGATGTCCCACAACCGTTTCCAGGGCTTACCGCAAACATACAAGACGTGTATCTCGATGGCCTACCACTCACTCCCTCCATCGTTGGCTCCGACCTCACTTCGTTGACCCTGCTCAACTTGGATTCAGTTTGTCATAACGCAGTGTCGTGGAACACCTCTGTTGTGAATCTGTTGCATTGTCTGTGTCTAACTCCGAGACTCAACACCCTTACCGTCGGGGAACTCCATGAGTGCTTCGTTCATGAGTTCACTCTTCCTGATGTTGTTCTCCCAAATCTCCACAACCTATCATATTTCTGCAAGAAAGCACTACCCCATTGCGGCTTCCTGATATCCCTCATGGAAACCCCCCAACTCCAAACCCTTTCTGTTCGTCTAGCTAGTATCTCCAGCACACACCACTTCATTTCAAGAAATCAATCGAAGCTTTCCAGTGTTCCTATCCTTCGATTGTTGGGAAACATGCACAATTATGTTGGGCTCAGTTCTAATTGAGCAAGCATCCTGCCGCTGATGTCGTAGAACATTCTAACACATCTGTACTTTCTGGAGGGAAGTCGAGTGTGGGTCCAGCTCCACCTTGTTGATGTTCTGGTGCATGCGCTCAGACTTCCTGCTCTTCGCCGTTTGGTCATACCTACGTCAATCCTACCGGCACTTCCGGCTTTACGAATTCACTTACTGGAGCTAGTGTTCCAGCAGGTACTCACGGCAGCTGAAACCAAACTGATCTACGAAGAACATGCTGTATGTGTCCCTTCCCATAACGTCCACTTCCTGTGTGCTCGTCTCTGGTTTTGGGACGGTCAACTCCGCTGTCAGAAGACATGTACATCGAGCCGTGAAAAGGCGGCTGTCCACTCCCGCTCCTTTGTTTTACTATCTCTTAAATAGCCAAACCATCGTTATTGCATCCTCACCTTACCACAATGCTAGATCTAGACCCGACTGCCCCAATTTTCGAATATATTACTGTACGGTCCCCCGACCGATATCTGCTAGGACCCATGTGATTCTCAAAATGACCTTGGCTGAAATTTGTCCGGATTTTCCGCTTTCGTATTTGGATCAGCATGCCGAAAAGATTTGCCCGGATTCTGCTTCAATTGTAACATTAGAAGTAAAGTAAATCCACGATCTATTCGAGATCGACCATCTTACTATCGTTCCTCCAAACTCTCATTCAGCATACATATATGTTGGCTTTCATATCAGAACCAGAAGGCGCCGTACGCGTCGGCCGGCAGTCTTCCACCTTCGTGAAGTTCAGATGTGATGCAGTGACAAACCGTGACAAATCCATCTCTGAACACCTACAGACTGAGACACCTTTCTTCGAGGCTTTCGACGTATCGCGCCAATACACCAAGCAAACCAGCGTCAAACGGTTGAGAGCTCGTCTCACTGTAATCCATGGACGACTATAATCGTGAGAACATTCGCGCCGCCTACCTGGCCCTTGAAGAGGCTGTATTGGTGGTTCTTCGCACAAGCCGCCGAGATGAGGCTCAAATACACAGGCAACGAAACGACTGCTTCTCTCTCCTTCATTCTGCTCAACAAGTAAGTTTCCGTTTGTGCCATTGTCACGTAGCCCTCACACAGGTTGACAGCATCGCGATGTATTTGCCGTTGACGAATTTTTGCGTCTGTGTCAGAACATCCACGACATGTTAAATGACCTAGAGAACGCAGGGCAGACAGACCTTGAGGGTATCAAACGACAAAATCTAAAAGTTGTACAATCCGGTAGCTCTACATCTCGAGGCGGTCGACGACCTATCGTCATAGAAGAAGACTTCCTCCGACAAGCAGTCCAGCTCAGGCGACCTACACACATTGCACGGACTCTCGGCTGCTCAGCTCGTACAGTGCGGCGGAGGCTTTTAGATCTCAGTCTCGTCCCTGCCGGCCAGCCAGTGTTTCAGTCTTTCATTCAACCGGATGGGTCTGATGAACTGCGACGCAACGACACCTGCGGTCAATGGAGCCGACACACAAATATCTCCGACGAAGAGCTTGATTCCCTGACGTTCGCAGTTCTCCAGCTTTTCCCTCATGCAGGGAGGAGCATGGTGATGGGGCAACTGGCTAGCCAGGGTGTTCGTGTTCCTCGCTCGCGGCTCCGCTTATCCATTCAACGGGTACGTGGGACCCCTGCATCATTTGGTCGTCGCAGGATTGTGCGGAAAAAATATTGGGTTCCTGCAGTCAACTCATTATGGCATCATGACGGACAACATGGTCAGTTGTGTGAAATTGTTGAAAATTTTGATTCCGTTTTTCATATTTTTCGTAGGGCTCATCAGGTGGAAGTTGGTCACACAGAAAATCGCGTTTCGTCACCGGTTTGCGAGTTCACAACAACAATCGTGCATTTACTGTCCTACGCCTGTTCCTCGATGCGACAGCACGCTATGGCGTTCCTAGCAGAGTTCGAGGAGACCATGGTGTTGAAAATGTTCAAGTTGCGGAAGTAATGGAGCATCTTCGTGGTCCAGGACGGGCTCATATATTTTTGGGAGGTACCTTGCATTCCAATTGCGATGCTCTGAGCTCAAATATACTCCTAGGAGCATACACAACACGCGGATTGAACGTCTTTGGCTGGACTGGACTCAAGGCTTGGGAGTCAAGTGGTATGACTTTTTTATGTGCTTGGAACAATTCTATGGGCTGGATGTGGACAATGAGCTCCACATTTGGCTCTTGCATCATCTCTTCCTACCTGCAATCAACAAAGAAGCCCAAGATTGGGTCAAGACCTGGAACTTTCATATTCTACAGATTCGCGGTGAACCGAACCGTTCGCCTGCCGATATATTCTTGTTTGGTCAAGTTGAAGCTGGGGTTCATGCTTTGCCTTTTGAAGGCCCATGTGATGAAGACGTGTCTCATTACGGTGTAGATCACGAGGTTCAACGCGATGCTCGTGTAATGGACCATCACTTCGCCCACAATCCCCGAGAGCTGGAATCTATTCCCGCAAGACTTAATTCGGTTGTTTGTGAATCGCCTGAATGCCCCTTATCCCCTATTCAAATGGCAACTCTCGACAGTGGGCTGAAGGATGCTGGACTGGATATGTGTACCGTTCTCAACATGGACATGCACAAGCTTATATGGCAAGAAGCTCTGCGCATTGTTGTCGATCTTCTATCGTAGAAGATTTGCGTTGTGTGCTCCAACTATCTCCTATCTCTTTGGCATACAAATAGTTTGTATACTAGTACTGTACTACAGCTGTTCTCAAAGGTGTAGGTGTAGTGTGAAGCTCGATCAGCACTCCAACGTTGTTGGGTACTGTTTGTATTTTGTGGCACCAAAAGTTGAGGAGATGGATGATATTGGAGTTGCTTAGAGCAGAGTGGCCAGTGTAAAATATGGACACGACAAAGCGCCGCGTTTCCGTGGTTATCAAAAAAAACAGCACCAGCTAAAAGTTCAGATGTTCTCAACCCGCCCCCTTCGACTGGGGGCCGCTGAAACTTAAAACAGCGCCTGAAGACGCTCCGATGCGCCTGGGGGAAAATTAGAAATATTTCCATTCAGAGGAATACTAGTAGTGTTGCCCAACCCACTCTTGCTCTCAGCCAGCAGACTCCTTCCCCTCCCTCCACCCCATATCCTTATATATTGACTCCGACACGCAGTAGTCCACGAAAAGCTTTCAAACGACCGCAACCTACGGTACGAAAAGCTGATTACCACAAACTAGAGGCGACAATCTCCCTCAGAGTTAGGGGAGTCCGTAGCAAAGGTACAAGGATGCTGCACGGCAGAATGGCATGCTCAAGTCATACTACTTCATCTAGCGTTGACTGAAGGGTCGGACAGTTTCGGGAAGAGCGGCAAGTGTATTGAAGAGGGTTGACGAGCAGGAAGAGGTATTGGAGAGGTGGATCTTTTGGTTGGCGCATTCCAATCAGCAAGCGGACCATCGCTCCGAAGGTTTTTGCCTTGTGTGAACGACAACCTTTCTGTCGACGGGTGTACTGATTTGTTAGTGGTTACCCAGGAAATGCTTACCGACCAGCACCATCCGGACTTTGAAAAATGGGACACAATGAGAGGCTCGAACGTGCGCACCCGGATGGTGGTGGTCGGTTAGCATTTCCTGAAAAAGTTCAGCATTGAGTTTGTTGTCAGTTGGGCACCATGTCAGCACGAGAAGAACTAGTCTGACGATCAGCCGATTGAACTTGTAAGGCAATGCGAGCTCGAAAACGAAGCATGAGTGAGTTCGAGACTCGAAGACGAGGAAAGTTGTCATCGAGAAGAAATATCTAAAGCTGGCTTCAGCTGAGTGTGGACGAAATTTGAGCCAAATGCACTGTTTTGTTTGGATACGGGAAGTATTCGCTGCCTGGTGATGGACCCTCAAGTTGGGATTCGATGTCGGGCAAGCTCTGGAGACCTGAAGAATGGTTTAGTCCTCGACATGAGTCAACGGTCAACGTTTTAGCGAGAAGACGTGACCGTGATTCGTTCGTGCTTGTCCACCACCTCTTACCCATGCCCTCGACGATTTCGGCCAGGAAGTCTCCGTCCTCATCGCCGTCCACCACTCATCTGATAACCCTACTTTGCCTAGTCAACTTGCTTTACGCGTCGGTGGTGGGCGGATATACGAGACTTTTTCTCGCTATATGGCCCACCGAAGATGGTCGGTATGCTAATAGGTGAGTGTTCTCTCCTTTGCCTCAATCAACTTGACTCAGTTCTGGTCCAGCAATCCTGAAACCGCCGGCACCGTCCCATATGCGAGATTTTTTCTTGTCATATGCTTCACGTGGCTCTCGCTCAGTTCGATTATATGCGATTTGTTTACTACTATTCTGCACCGCGTGTTTTGTTGATCGGCTTCTCGGGTTGAGTCTCTCCCCACCTCGCCTTCCCTCGCCTCAACGTTGTCTCGTTCACGTCGACTATAGTGCCGTTCATGTTATAATATTGGTCTCGCTCCGACTGAACGTGTGCTTGGCCACGGTCTAACGCGTTGTATGGTTCTCTGGAGATCTGAAGGATGGTTTAGTCCTCGACATGAATCAACCAAGGAATCAACGGTCAACGTTTTAGCGAGAAGACGTGACCGTGCGTTCGTTCGTGGTTGTCCACCACCACTTACCCATGCCCTCGACAATATCGGCCAGGAAGTCTCCGTCCCCATCGCCGTTCATACCTTGCCCAGTCAACTTGATAGTTTTGCAAACACAGGCTTTAAATCCCATGAAATGTCTCGGCATCCCGGTAATATGTGATTCGAAACCTCGACTGCTTGCTTTACGCGTCGGTGGTGGTGGGTGGTGGATATACGAGACTTCTTCTCGCTATATGGCCTACCGAAGATGGTCGGTATGCTAATAGGTGAGTGTTCTCTCCTTTGCCTCAATCAATTTGACTCAGTTCTGGTCCAGCAATTCTGAAACCGCCGGCACCGTCCACATTGTAGCCCATATGCGTTCATATACTTCACCGGCTAGCCTCTCATTGCTTTGGACTTATAACCTCTAGCCCAGTCCTCATACTTCGTCACCCCCACATGGCCCATAGTCGAGAATCCATATCGTTCACGTCGAACTCCAGGACGAGAAAAGCAAGTCTGATCTAGCGTCATTTCATAGGCACGACCTCGATCATTGAAGCATATCCCGGAACACTCTTACACATCTGCTGACAGCCAAACTGATTCATCAACTTGTCATCAGCCACCGTTATGGCCTGCTCGGTGCCTCCCCAACTATAGTTGCTCCAAACGTACTTCGGTCATGACTAGCTCCACAACCAACCGCATCATCTTCCGTTGGCAACTCGAGTCTTACTTCCTCCTCCTCATTCCAAATCTAGGTGTCCGACAGGTTTTCTTCTCTTGACTTGGGCCATATGACGAGGAAAAGCCTATATATCAAACCGACCAAAGGCCCCGTGCAACGAAAACATGTCAAAGACTTCGCATTGGAGATGGGAGCTATCGCTGTTCATGCTTGATCGAACTTGTGAGTGCATTCCTCGTACTCGACCAACCCTCAAACTCCTCTTCGTTCAAGAGCTTTTTACATGAAATCGCATCTGTCACCAATAGTCCTCGCACTATGGTCATCCTTGTACTACTACCGTTGTTGTAATAGTGGTCTCTCGCTTCTCGAGTGCCGAGAGCATCATTCCGTGGCTTATAGCTTGCGCGCTACCTGGTTGTTTTACCTGGGTGAGTGTCATATCTTGTACGCTCTCAAGCTTAAATTAATGTGTCTTAGCATTGAAACTGGGACATTCAAACCCGTCCTCAATTTGATCTGTAGCATCTCCATAGCTCAAAGACGATTCACGTGAACTCAAATCCAGCCATCATCGGAACTTTTGGTGACGCTGGTCACAGCTCACCAATAACCTCGAACCCGCTAACACTCGCACAATGGAGGATAAAGCCCCAGCTTCTTCAAGTGCCCTATCAGCGTCACTCCTCCCACCATCCACTTCGGAAAACAATGTTCAGGGTGTTTTGGGAAGCCCTGTGCTCCTTGCACTCATTTTCAAAGCCTACCTTGCCTCTTGCTCCCTCGTCGATTGGCAAAAGAATCATCGGAGCAGGACCACCCTCAAAATGGTTTGCACGTTTTGGAAGGCGGTATTGGAGCATACACCGGATCTGTGGTCGAACATTACTTTGGTGATTGGAATGCCCCAATGTTATATTGACCAGTTCTTCCGATTGTCCAAGGCCGCTTCAAAGTGTGTGGACATCCGGCTTCACGCGAACTCGGAGTCCGAGATTGTCAACTTCACGTCTTACATCGCCCCCAAGCTGATCGAGATAGCCAACACAATTACGTGCCTCTCCGTGCAGTATGATACTCACAAGAACTGGAACTTTTTTACCGGTCAACTTTCTCTTTGGGACCCCCAGCCTAACTTCGCATCACTTCGAGAGCTTCACGCGACTTGTTCTAACTATTTATACCATCACTTCCCCGACGCCATCACACATTTCCCGGGACTTGCCACCGAAATACGAAATCTTCGCCTTCATGGCCTGGCACTTACTCCCTCCATCGTTGGCTTTAACCTCGTTTCTTTGGCCCTGTTCAGCTTAGACTCGGTCTGCACCAACGCGGCATCATCCCATGCTTTCGTTGTGAACCTTATACATTGTCTCCGTCAAACTCCCAGTCTCCGCGCCCTTTCCATTGGAGACTTAAATGAGTGTTTCATTCAGGAGTCTGTTGTCCACAACTTTACGGTGGTGCTTCCGAGGCTACAAAATTTATACTATCTTTGCAACATGCCCTTGGAGCACCCTTGTGGCTTCGTCTTATCCCACATCTCAGCTCCACAACTCCGAATCCTTTCCATCTGCTTAACCAACCCTCACAATACGCACGCCTTTGTTTCGGCAAATCTATCCAAGCTTTCAATCATTACCGAGCTGCGCCTGACTGGAGACGTACAAGATTACATCGAGCCTTCGGGGGGTCGCATGGGGCTCTTGCCATTGCTGAACGGGGGCCCATTGCAACATCTCAGTGTTCTTGATATTGGTGGCTTATTTGATCTCCATGCTGAGCAAAGAGCTTCGGTCCCAACCGGTCTTCTCCGAGCCTTTGTCCATGGGTTATCCCTTCCCGCTATCCGCCTCTTGGTCGTGCCCAGATTATTCTTGTCTCACACTCCACCGCACCACTTGATGGAGTCTGTGTTCAAGAAGCTTTTGCAGCGCGCGGAAACCAAATCTGTCTATGAAGAACACGCATTCTGTCTTCCTTCCGATGTTGAAGAAGACCATTCCGCTTGTGGCTGTCTTTGGTTGTGGGACGGTGAAGCACTTGACCTGAAGACCCATTCCACCCATCCCACCACTGCAGGTCATGCCTCCTTTCTTCCTTTCACATTCCCCTAGATATCCAGTAACTGCTCGGTAAAAAGACGTTTGCTCCATAAACTACCACTTTCAACTTGCAAATATGTAAACTTGACCCGGGTCGTTGACGTTCTCTGAGACTTGATTCTATCCTGTTCAATTCCTCGACATGGACATGTACAAGTTATGGCAAGAACTATTATCTTGTCGCACCGGTGACCGGTACCTGGGCATACTACAAATGGTTTGCAAACAAGATACTAGTATTCATGTAATTGACACAAAAGTTTGCGGTCATTTTGACACAAGGTATCAACACTGTCGCGTCTGGCCGTTCCGGGATGCTCGTGCGATCATTCTATACCTATTGATAGACCGGGTGTGTGACTCAGTGTTGTGTGACCCAGTGACTGTTTGAACGAACGAACGATCAAACATGTGACCACCTTGACTCTTGTTCCTTTCGTGCAAACCCGTTCTTGGGTGAAGCCGATTTTGATTCTTTAAGTACACTCTGTCGATGGTAATACAAAGATTTTCTATGTGAACCTCAGACTACTCACTAACAACTCTAGGAGAAGTTGAAATTCACACAACTCTACTCGCGCCAACGGTTCGAACCGTTCGTAGGTTTCGAGTCTTCCACTGCAGGACTCAATTTTCAACTCGAAGAGCCCTTCAATCATCGAGTGGCTTCGCGTCGCTATGTAAAGATTGATGATGAATATTTTGAGCTCTGGTCCCCTAATACCACGATGAAAGAATTCTTGCCGGGATTACCCTATCTCCTAACCGACCTCCGCATTGACACCAACCCAGACTATAGACGATATGACGGCTCCTTGGGACGCTTTGACTACATCCACTATCCCCAGTATCTCGTTTCTAACCCTCAGGCTCCTTACATCCCCTACATCCGTCGTGCTCATACTGTTAAGGAAGACGACTCGATTTACATTGCGTATGTCCCACTCATGGCCTTCTGGGAACAGTCGTCTGGGCACACAGGCCGTGTTACCGCAAATGGGGTACAACTTCTCCAGCAATGTACACAATTCCTCCAAGAAGACATCCGAAAGTACCGCAAAAAAACAGCTGTCGAGGAGAACGCTTCCTCGTTTATCCCACCACCACCTGAAGCCGATATGATCCAGGAATTACGCAGTTTTCGGAAGTGGGACGAAGTTCTGGACGATTTTACGACGGTTCAAAGGAGTTTACGCCAGATGAATGCCTGGCTCACTTGGGTCAAGAAGGATATACTACAAGACTGGGACTCGAATTCGCCAATTCCCAAAGCGAAAGACTGGTACATGGGTGCATGGGTGAACGGCATGCCCGCTGAACGTATTCGCCGCCTGCTCATGGCAGGAATCCCATGCTTTATCGTCGCTGTAGTCATGATAGATGATTTGCCATCAACACGGGCAGATGCCCTTCTGACGACTTTCTTGGACAAAACAGAGACGGAAAAATTCTTGGACCGTAATAACCCATACATGAAGTTTATCAAGCAAGGAAGAGACTTCAAGGCTCGCCCCAAGCTGCAGCATGCCATTCGCTATGGAAACCCGCCACCTTTCGATTTGGAAAAAAATCAGAAAGCTTCGTCACTATATTGCGCTCCCGCTCCTCCCCTAGAACAATCCACTTCCCAAAAAGAGATTCCACTCCAAGTCGCAAACCAATTCCTCGCCCCATCCAACCCTGCTTTATCGGTTTCTTCACAGGGGCTGACCGGAAGCAGTGGATCGTCATCGTCAATCTTGCTAGAGGAAAACTCGCACCGAGTAATTCAACTTCCACCAGGTGGCTTGGAAGAAGCAAACAAACTTGCAGAGGAAGCAGCAGAGTCCGATGAGGTAGAGTCAGACGATGCGGAAGACAGCCCGTTGCCTCGCGCTCCTGTAGAGCTTAAATTCCAGCCAATTAGCCCCAGGACCATGACCATATATCCAGAGAAGGTCGATTGGGTTGTGCCTCCCCCAATTCAAGAGAGACGAACGGGATTGGGCAATATGCATTGCCATATTGGCAAAACAGCGGATGGGAAAGGGGCGATGTACCAAGTGAACAAGGGTAATAAAGGGTATAGAGGCACCGCATACTATGACCGAGTTCATGGGCGTGTGTTGTTCATGAAGACCTATAAACTGCCTCAAGGAGTTGTCGAACCCGAAAAGTATGGGTTTCCAGCTCCCGCCTTGTATGCCTTCCAACGTGACCACCGCTCGAACTGGATGCCCATGGAACCCACTACTTGGTTATATTACACCCAGGTGTCCAGAAAAGGCCATAAACCAGGGGAAACAGCGCCTACTCCATCTGCTGCGCAGTTGGAGTCTCGATGTGATTCTCGACGCAGTCGGTCTCCATCTTCTCGGGAGGATGGACCATTGCAGAAAAAACGAAACATCGCAAAAGGATTTTGAATTTGATACGACTTGAGCCAGTTCTCGGTGCAAAGAGGGAAAAGAATAGATGTTCATCATAGATATAGATAAGCGTAGGAGCTGAGATCGAACTACGTGATATTCAAATCATCAACAATATGAAAGCAGCTGAGAAGCACATCGTCAGCTGTTATCAGCCTGGCTCGCTTGCCGTTACTGCCGGTCAATAGGTTAAGTTTCCAAGGTATTTGTATTCAGCGATTAGGCTTGTACTTGTTTGTGGAACGGTACTTGAGAGCTGCCGGACCCAGCTAAACTTGTCTTTCGCGTGCAGCAAAACCTCTACCATGCGACTAAATGACTGTTGCTATGTGAGATTATGAGAACAATATCGGTTGAATAGCTCGCCGAGGCTCGTTCCAGTCTCATATGTAGCGCACCATCCCAATACCACAGTCGAGCAGGCAGAATGATCTTCATAGATAAGTTTGCAAGAGGTACCGACGCTGCTTGGAACGTGATGGAATATGGAGGCCACCAAGCTCTCATGAGAAGCTGGGTGCTGAGACAAGGATGAGGGTGTAGCGTTAGCACCAAAGTTTACGTGGCAGAATTGCTGCACGTCAAGCAGATATGGTGGAATGGAGCAAGGACGTCGGCGAGCAAGGACGGAGTGGAAGTCGAGCACAAGAAGCTGCTAGGGGTTGGATGGGACATTCCAAAACGATACGGGAAGAAAGTGAGAGCAATGAGACCGGACGGAGCGAGACCAAGATTATAACACGAACAGCACTAAAGTCAACGTGAACGATACGACGAGAAAAATGTTGGGGCGAAGGAAGAGACTGGGCGAGGTAGGGTCAGACGAGTGAAATGCAAAGAGAGGCTCAACCTAAAAAGCCGGTCAACCAAACACGCGGTGCAGAATACGCAACTCACAAATCGAACTGAGCGAGAATCACGATGACCATCCCGTGAAGCATATGACGAGAAAAAATCTCGCATATGGGCTACAATGTGGACTGTGCCGGCGGTTTCAGGATTGCTGGACCAGAACTGAGTCAAGCTGATTGAGGAAGAGAACACACACCTATTAGCATACTGACCATCTTCGGTGGGCCATATAGCGAGAAAAAGTCCCGTATATGGGGCACCACCACAGGCTTTGTGGCGACGCTGCCGAGCATGGGAGAGGAAAGGCAGAGATGTGACTAGTGTGTTTGTTTCGAAGACCAGGCACTGACCGCTTATCTAAAACCATACTAGTCAGCAGCTCTACGGACAAGAATCTGCGAATGCAGCCTGGTCTACGAAGAATCGGACTTGATCATGAATCGCTGCGTTGCGACCTCAGGCGCTTCTCAGCGAACACAAGTTGTCGATTTGCGCCTGTTCGGCGACGTATTGCTGACGAAATTCAATTCAGGGTCCACGCACAGTGATATTTGGACGATGAAGTTCAGAAGAACCCAGTCACAAACTTCCAAAGTCAGCCTGATTTCGTGATGGCACCCACAATCCCAAAAGTTCCGATGATGGACCAATGCCACATTGAGGCAAACCATAATCTACATGGTTCTACAACAAGCCGCTACTCTCGAATCCGAAAGCCATCTGCTCTCTATTTTGGGACCAGCCCACAATGAAGCAACCAACTATCAGTCATGCAGAATTCCCGTCTATACTTCCGACCTAGATTCAGAGCGTCAAATTTTCGATGCCACAAACTACCGCGAGCCTGTTTGGACAGTACAGGAGGCAAGAATTAATGGAATTCATCTTGATATGTGAGTATGACCATCAATGCGGGGGGTTCATGTCAATTGAAAGGCTCCACAGGGCTTCGCTGGAATATGCAGTTGCGCAAGAGAGGAGAAAATTATTCCAACTCCACTCAAATATCACCCAAGCCCAAGAGTATCTTGCCCAACAATGCGAACGACTTCATTGGGGTTGTCGTGTGCATAATGAAGAGCGACTCAAAAACCAGTACTCTGGCCTTGTGCCAGTGGTCACGGCAACACGAGAGAAAACACCAGAGAATGACTCCGAGACTGCTCCACCTTCAAGACCATCAGTAGGAGGAATGGTGATACTCAGCGAAGGACTTGAATCGACAGTCCACTTGCCGAACGGCGAGGTCAAGAGAACATCCGCGAGTAAAAGTAAAAGGATTCGTGGGACGAGAACAACGAGGTCTACATCGACTCGAGTAACTCGCAGCAAAGCTTCAAGTTTAAAGGCTGCTTCGGATAAGGGATGCGTTGAGCCTTGGATGGTGGTGGCTAGAGGGAGATGCGGTCGAGGACGTTATGAGACGGTGCTCGTCCTAGAAGGAGCAAAAGGGATCTGAGACTAGTGTCAGTGACATAGAGCTACCTCGAGGTCAATCAAGTTTTCTTCTATCATATCTGTAAAAGCAGCTCGGTTCGGTCAGCAGAGCATATGGCCACTGGCAGGCCTCGCAAAACCTCTGGCGTATTAAAATGCTGACTTGTGGCAAGACGAAGTAACAACTTGAAGATAGATATGTGCTGCCCAGGTAAGGGGAACGCTATGGCGGTCCGTTTGTAAAATAAATAAATCTCAAAATATAAATGGAAATCTCACCTGGAAATAAGTCAGTTCCCATCTCAAGAAGTTGAG